CCCGCCCCCGTCCAGGAGACGCTGCCTCCGCCCCTCCAGCTGGCCCTGCTCCGGAGCTTTGCTCCCCCACCCCGTCCATGGTCCGGGGCCAGCGAGTCCCGCGTGTGAAACACAGGTGTAGCCCCGCGGCAAGGGGCCGGGGGGACCAGCCCAGGTGCGCCCTGGCGTTCGGGACGTGCTAACCTTGCCCCCCTTGCCTCGTAGCTCAGCCACTTCAGCTCCCATGCGGAACGTCACCCCTTTGTTCTGCAGCATCTGAAAAAGGAAGAGGAGTGACCCGGCCCAGGCTGTCCCTGATGAACTCCGCCACTGGGTCCACCCCCCGCCCCTCCCGGTGGGTCTGGCAGGTGAGCCCCAGCGTGTGCGGCAGGACTGTGAGCTGGGGCAGAGGGGAGCATGAGGCCCCGAGTTGGCCAGGCTGGAGAAGGGCCGGGGGTGGCCAGGGAGGGCTGGCGGCGCTGGGAGCCGTGTGCCGGGCGCTGGGGAGCGGCAGGTCTCGTGTCCGGCGCAGAGCGGGAGGAGGGGCCGGGCATGGGCCTGTCCAGGCGAGGACGGGGCTGCGCTCTCTGTACCCTCATGGCAACACCTCCGACGTGCGGCCCCAGCGCTGCCTGGAAGGGGAACGCCTCTCTCCCCACCACGCTGACGGTGCTGGCCTTGTCCGAAAGGCAGGCAGCCACCTCCATCCCTGCGCACAATGGACACAGCCGGAGTGAAACTGGCGCACGTTCCCCGTGCACCACCCACCGCCCTGAAATAGGGGCAAAGCTGGAAACCTTGCACGAGGGCTGGGATGTCAGACGTTGCCCCCTGCTGGCAGCTTTGTCCAGCCACTGGGCTCTAGGATCCTGGACTTTGCTCCGATTCACCAGGATCCCCCGTGACCTCGCTAGCTGCGCTTCAGGCCTGGTCCCCGCCCGGGGCGGGGCAGAGCAAAGCTCCTGCGGCTGAAGGGGGCAGCCTGCGCCCGGCGGACGAAGCGACGCCTCCGGGAAGTAAGTCCCCTGCCTCCCGTCCCAAGTGCTGCTGCAGCGATCGGGGCGTGGGGGAGGGGCCAGCCAAGGGCCGGTGGCTCCTCAGCGCACACCCAGCGCGGCTGGAGGCTCTGCGGGCGGCCGTCCGTACCGATGAAGGACGCGCCGAGGATCAGCACCCTCTTGCCAGCTGCCAGCTGGAGAATCCTGTGAGCATCCTCTGGGCTTTGCAGGGAACACACGCCCTGCAGGTCTGAGCCGGGGCACCCGAGCTGCCTGGGGCTGGGGAAGGAGACCCGGTTACAGTGGCCGCGCCCGCTGCCGCACGCACCCTGGGGCCGGGGACCGGC